AAATGTGCAATGACCTATGCAAGCTATTCTCCCTTGGGTCTTACCTTATATTACCACTATTTTTCCTTATGCAACCCATTACCACTTGGTTCTTCTTTGTGAATTACTCTTTGCAGGCATTGGCCCTTCTAGGTGATTTCATTGAAAAAGATGATACAATTATCAGAATTGGGGCAATTTTGGGCCTGGGGATTGCATATGCTGGGACAAACAAAGATGAAGTAGAATTCCTTCATATCCCTATAAAAATATATTCATGTTTTTAATAATTTTTGCGTTGGCTGATCCGTCATCTGTAATGCCAGTTGAGAGTTCGCCTTACTGCCATTCTGGGAGATTCAAAGTCACCTCTTGAGGTCCTTGTATTTTCTGCGATCACTCTGGGGCTCGTTCATGTTGGTTCCTGCAATGAATATATTGCTCAAACAATCATTTTGGCAATAATGGAGCGTAGTGAATCTGAATTGAGTGAACCCCTTACCCGTCTCCTTCCTGTAGCTCTTGGTCTTCTATACCTTGGCAAGCAGGTAATCTTATGGAATGACATCAATTTCTGTGCCAATTTCAGTAGTTGATTTGAGATGTTTGGGTGTTAGGAAATTTAGAGGTAGAAAATGAAAAATAGGATGAAAACCTAAAATAAATAGTTTTAGATTGGTAATCATAGCAGAAATTTCTTGAACTTCTAATGCTGTGGTTCTTTGGCATTATTCATTAAAAAAATGATGGCTTTGGCTAATTATGCAGCTTATTTTTGTTGTGAGACGTGCTGGATGTGCGGAACTAGCTTTTTGTATGAAATGTGCGACGTATTCTGCTTTAGATTGATGATTTTGGACTTATTGTTGTTTATTAAAAGAAGGAAGTGGCATGCAGGATTTCTATGCATATCCTGACCCTTGGCATTGTTTAAAGTGATTTTTGTGTGGTTCTGGACATGTGAAAGACGGTAACATTGTTTTGCTTTTGGTTTTTGAATTTAATTTTGATAATTTGTTTTGTGGAATTTTAAAATTAATTTATGGTTAATTTAAAATATTTTGATTGATTTTATATTTTTATGCCAACTTCATCTATTAACTTGTATTGTTGGTGCAAGTTTGACGTATGATTACTGATGCAATCAATAATTAGGAAAAATCTAATTTTTACAAGCAAGAGAAACACTTTCTAGGAAATAGAAAATTATATGAAATACTCGAAAGTTAGACAAAATACGACATTTAAAACAAAATACAACTTTACTTTTATAATAGAAAGACACTTACAAACACAAACATAAACAACACCTAAAGTTGTTTTCTTGGATTGAGAAGAAAGATACTGATGGCGTCGAACTTGCGGAGAGAAGAAGGAGATAGGAAGCCTGAGACAAAATATATCTTGCAAGCTATAGAGAGGAGAAGAGATGGAGGACATAGCTCACAAGCTATTCCCAAAGAAAAACCCTCAGGTTTTGTTCCAAAAATTACATCATAACATCCTCTCAAATAATCTCTTTAGAACAACCACAAACTCCCAATAAATAGGCAAAAAGAAGCCCAAAAGACACCTAAAACAGCTGTCCAAAACAGCTAACAAAAACAGGAGAAACTCTTGGAAAAAAAGGCAACATTTAAGGCTCCCAAAAACCGAATAATCAAAGCCATGAATCTGGACAAAAACATGAACCAAACAGCCACCTAAAAATCCAAAATTTATTCCAAAACAGCACCCAAAAAGGCCACTCATAAAATAGGAAAAACAGCCACGGGATAAGCACCCAGGGGAGAAACTGAAGGGGCACAAAGGGGACCAGAACCAACACCCAGCAAGGGAGACAGAACAACAGCCAGGGGAGGCGGAATAGCAGCCAGTGGAGGCGGAATAGGCAACCAAGGGATGCAGAACAAGCAACCAGAGGGAAAACCGAAGGGACACAGGGAAGGGGAAAAAACCGGCCATGGAGAGAAGAACTAAAGGTAATGGGGAATGAACCAAATTAAAACCAAATTATGAGCTGAAAAATTAGTAGAAGCTCATTAATGAGCTGACTCCAGTAGAAACTTACAAAATTTTCAACTCAACTTATTTTGACCCCCCTTTTGCCTACATCAATTCTCCTCCGGTTGAAAATACTCATCTCCTGATGAGGTTGCTTTAAATTTTTTTCGATGAGATGTAGACTCCGAATCCAATTCTTCAATCTTTGCTGCATATTTCTTCAGGATTTCTTCTCGTTCTTGCTTGAATTGGTTTTTCAACAGTTTCTGTTTCTTCATATAATTTTCCGTACTTATATGCAATTTCATCTATAATTTGTATAACTCATTTTGAAGTGGGATTTTTGAACTTCCTTATGTCGGAACCCATCTGTCCATTGGAGTTTCAAATGTAGGATCGACTGGCTGATTTTCTTCCATGACTGACTCAATTTTTTTATGATTTTCTATTTTTTTAAACACTTTAAAAAAAGACACGAAACAACCTAGGAAGACACAAACCTAGGCTCACACAACAACTATTATGACTCACCAAGACTCACTCGACAACTTGCTCTGATACCAAATTGATGCAAGCAAAAATTAGGAAAAATCTATTTTTTGCAAGCAAGAGAAACACTTCCTAGGAAATAGAAAATTACATGAAATACTCAAAAGTTATACAAAATACAACTTTACTTTTATAATAGAAAGACACTTACAACTTTTGACACTTACAAACACAAACATAAACAACACGTAAAGTTGCTTTCTTAGATTGAGAAGAAAGATACTGATGGCGTCGAACTTGCGGAGAGAAGAAGGAGATAAGAAGCCCGAGATGAAATATAGTTCGCAAGCTATATAGAGGAGAAGAGATGAAGGACATAGCTCGCAAGCTATTCCAAAAGAAAAGCCCTCAGGTTTTGTTCCAAAAATTACATCATAACATCCTCTCAAATAATCTCTTTAAAACATCCACAAACTCCCTATAAATAGGTGAAAAGAAGCCCAAAAGACACCTAAAACAACTGTCCAAAACAGCCAACAAAAACAGGAGAAACTCTTAGAAAAAAGGCAACATTTAAGGCTCCCAAAACCAAATAATCAAAGTCATGAATCTGCACAGAAACAGGAACCAAACAACCACCTAAAAACCCAAAATTTATTTCAAAACAGCACCCAAAAAGGCCACACAGAAAACAGGGAAAAACAACCACGGGATAAGCACCCAAGGGAGAAACTGTAGGGGCACAAAAGGGACCAGAACCAGCACCCAGCAAGGGAGACGTAACAGCAGCTAGGGGAGGCGGAACAATAGCCATGGGAAGCGGAACTAGCAACTAGTGGAGGCAGAAAATGCAACCAGTGGGAAAACCAAAGGGACATAGGGTAGGGGAAAAAATCGGCCATGGGAAGAAGAACCAAAGGTAATGGGGAATGAACCAAATTAAAACCAAATTATGAGCTGAAAAATTATTAGAAGCTCGTTAATAAGCTGACTCTAGTAGAAACTTACAAAATTTTCAACTCAACTTATTTTGACCCCCCTTTGCCTACATCAATTACTTTGAGTATGATATAAGTTGGACCACTTATTTTGGAGGGGAAGTAGCTCTTTGCACTAACATGAGGCTGGGTTATTCTCTACTAAGTTGCTTTGTTCATTTATTTTTCCAACTTTATTTGTTATATGTTGGATCTCTTAATTTTGAATAAAAGTGACACAATAAAACATGAAAATTATTTTTTTTGTTTGTTGATTAAATTCTTATAACAAAAATTTATAGTTTAGATTGCAAAGGTATTTCGAGTGAAAGTTTATGTGCCCAACATCGCTTATTAATTTTGGGCTTTAATATGAATATGCAGAATATGAAATGTAAAGTAAAATGCAGTATTTAAAGAACACTAACAAATATATATTTGAGAGTAAGATTCTAGATTTTAAAATTTTGTTTGTGCATGAAGAAGTTAATGTTATGTGGGAAAAAGTAGCTAGTGATATTAAGAATGTTGCAAAGGATGTACTTGGAGTATCAAAAACAAAATATCATAATAGTAAAAATAGTTGGTGGTGGATTTAAATTCTGTAACAAAAAGCTAAAAAATAAGAAGCTTTGTTATAAAAAGTGGTTTATATGTAAAACTCTAAAATTTGGGAAAGATAAATAGGCCTGTAAGGAGTCTAAGAAAACAATATGCAATGCTATGATTTTAGCTTTTAATGATTATATAATAGGTTAGATACTAAGGAGGGCGAAAGATATATGTATAAGTTAGTCAAACAAAGGGATATGAGTAGTAAGGATTTTGTTCTAGTGAAGTGCATTAATGATGAAGATCAATAAATGCTTTTATTAGAAGAAGATATTCAACAAAAAGGTGGATGAGATAATTTGCTAAGCTTTTCAATGAAGATCATGAAAATGTGATTGACTTTAGTGACCTTAACACCTTAAATGAAAATATAGATTTTTATTTTTATCGGCGTATTAGTAAAACTGAAGTTAGAGAGAGGCTTTAAAGAAAATGAAGTATGAAAAAGTTGTTGGACCGGGTGATATTCCAATAGAGCTGTGGAAATGCCCAGTAGATGAAGGGATTTCTTGGATTATAAAACATTTTAATATTATTTTAAAGACTAAAAAGATGTTAGATGAGTGGAGATTTAGTGTGTTGATTCCTATTTTTAAGAATAAAGATGATGCACAAGATTGTGTGAATTATAGAGGAATTTAGTTAATGTGTTATACTTTAAAACTATGGAAGAGAGTTATGGAATATATGTTACGACATGATATTAATGTTTTCTTAAAATCAATTTGGATTCATGTCGGGTAGGTCACTATTGAAGCTATACATTTATTGTGAGGTTTCATGGAGTTGTATAGAGAGAATAAGGAGGATTACATATGATATTTATTGATTTATTGAAAGCATATAATAAATTTCGAACAGAAGTGTTATGGAGAGTTCTAGAAAAGAAAGGGGTTAATAATGTTTATATTAAAGCCATTAAAGATATGTATGCAGGAGTTGTTACTTGTGTTCAATCACAAGGTGATTTGGCCAAGTATTTTCTTATTTTAGTTAGATTACATCAAGGATCAACTTTAAGCCCATATCTTTTTGCTTTAGTTATGGATGTTCTTAATAGACATTTGTAAGAGGATATACCCTGGTGTATGCTTTTTTGCTTATGATATTCTTCTTGTTAATAGGACTATAAAGCAAGTTGAAGGTATCTTGAATTATGGAGGTCAACCTTAGATTCTAAAGATTTTTATTTACGTAGATCTAAAATCGAATACATGGAGTGTAAATTTAAGAGTAATAGATTAAGTGGGGGATTGTGACTTTGGTGATCAAGTCATTAATAAG